AGGTTAACCTTACAGAGATCCGTTTATTTCCCCTTAATGGCTCTTCATTACTACAATAAAACTCCTGACAAGGAGCTGGCTTTTCTGGCCTCTGGCAAAAATATGAGGCTACTCCGAAGCAGAAAGACACCTCTGGCTTTTAGCCAAGGAAGGAACTGATTTCTCTTCTTTGGGTTCTTTTTACACTAAACTTCTTAGTTAATTTTTACCTCCTGTTTTTTGACACCAGTGTCAGAAAATTCAACAAAATCTGATGTCTATGAGACTGTATGTTATGCTTGGTCATACTTTCACAAGAGAATTTTATGCATTCCCAGTCCCATGGCACATGTCCCTTAGGGCATGTTCAGTTAAACTCATGCAGAAAATGATATGCTGGAATTATTAGGCATGCTTAACCTAATTTAACACAACTAAAGTCAACAATAATTTAAACTCATAATGACAAAAAAAAGAATAAGCATGATAGTACACATGTACTTATCAAAATAAATATAACAATAATAAAAAGGAATAAAATGGTAAAAAAAACAAAAAAAAACAGGAAATAAGAGCAGGGAAATGGATTTAGAATGCATAGAAGAGAGAGAGAGAGAGAGAGAGAGAGAGAGAGAGAGAGAGAGAGAGAGAGAAGGAGGAGCAGATCTGCAGAGCTGAACTGTTATACAGAATTAGAAGAACACAGGACATGAACGATGGTTTAATGGGTGAAGTACTTTTGCCATGAAATCCTGAATTCACATTCCAGGACACATATTTACATAAAGCCAGAAAGTGCTTCTATGCTACATCTTCATGCATATCTAGCCTATGGCATATGCCATGAAAAAACAATTAGAGACCCTGGATAGAACAAGATGGGAGATTACAACGACACCTGAATCTGTCCTCTATCCTTTATATGCACATCTGGGCATACAGTGATGACTATATTTTATCAACTTGACACAACCAAAAGTCATCTCAGTAGATGAAATCTTTGTTGATATAATGCCTCCATAAGATTGACATTTAGACAAGCCCTGGATGGCTGCTTTTTGAATAATAATTAGACAAAGCAACCAATTATTATCTAATGGCAGGAGGTACTGAATGTATAATAAAGTAGCCAGAATAAGCCATGAGGAGTTATCCAGTAAGCCATACTCATTTATGGCCTCAGTATCAGTTTGTGCTTCCAGGTTCCTGCCTTGAGATTCTGCCTTGACTTTCCTAGATGGTGGACTACAACAAGCTTAAGATGAAGCAAACAATTTCCTTCCAAAGTTACTTTTATCTAACTGTTTTAGAAGATGAATAGAGACCCTAAGAAAAGGAGCACATGTGTGAGAAAAATGCAGTCACATACCTTGCACACACACAAACACACACACACATACACACACACACACAGAGTACAATATAAGAAACAACAAGTACACATTGCAAAATTATCCCAAACATATAGGAGTGTTAGATGACATAGAGTTCTGTAATTGGAGTTGAAGATGTGAGTATTAAGAAAAACATACCTCTGTCTGAAAAAAAGAATCAACAAAAGATCACCAGCCCCTCTTGAAACACTATGAAACTGTGTATAGCACCATGGCTTGCAGGAGAAGATCCAAAGAACTACCAAGATCTCCAAAGAAGGACTTTTCCAACAGGTCTCTCTTGAAGAAGCCACTGGCTTCTACCTAAGGGAACAATCTAGGAGCTGTGAAGATGTTTGCCATTGCATTTCAATAATCTAATCCTGGCATCTATGCCTATAGCTTAGTTTCTCTCTCCATTGTGTCTTCTACCTAGTTGAACTATGTGCCAGACACAGTCCTTCCTTCTTTAAGTTGTTTGGTCTGATATTTTGTCACAGCATTGAGAAAATTAATGAAGGCAAACATGAATACCAGAATACTAGCAGGTATCCATCATGGAAATAATCTCAGGGTTGGCCAGCAAGAGCAAAGTCATTTTCCCAAAGAATCAGAGGCACTGAGTTGAAGCAACACTGAAAAAATTTACCCAGTTCATTTCTAGACTTCACATTATTTTAAAAGTATTTGCTGTTCATTTCTAACCTTCATGGTTTCTGAGTTATTTACAAGTTATAGTGTGTGTGTGTGTGTGTCTGTATGTGTGTCTGTGTGTGCATATTCACTACATGTGTATGATTGTGTGTTTGTAACAGAGTAAATGTGGGGGTCAGAGGACAATATGCTGTGATTTGTTCTCCTCTACTACCATGTAGTCCCCAGGGACAGAGCACATTTCATCCCACTTCGAAGCAAATGCCATGAGTGACTGAGACATCTCATTGATTCAGTGTTCTCAGCAGTTAAGGAAATGCTCACGTACTATGTGGTAATATTTCCCTTTCATGTTCCCAAGAAAATAGCAGAGAAAACTTCTTTTATGTGTTTTTCCTCCTATGAGTGTGTTTGTTAACAGCCACACATACTAGGTGACATTGACATATGTGATCCCCACCAAAATGTGTTACACAGGTTCTGAAGGTTCTATTCTTCCAGATCAGTGTTTTATCAATGGTATCAGGTTTTAACAAGAATATATGAAGCTTGTTGTTTTCACTGCATAGGGTGTATATCATGACACTCTTCTGTATCTCTGCTCCAAAAAGTATTCTTGACTACTAGAAAGAGTTCCATGAATACAAGTAAAACTTTGACATAACCAAACTATAAAGTCACTGCAATGTATTAAAAGCTCCACTTCTCTCACTTATTAGAACTTGGCTGGTAGTGAATTATTCAAAACACTCTTTGTATTTGAAAATGATGAATGGTAGCTTCATATTTCTGGGAGAGGACATTAGTCACAGGGGCAGAAGTCAGCTAAGGTCACAGCTTAAACTGTATCTTGAACAATTTTGGGAGTCACTGAAGTGTTTTAAGCATGACTAGATGACATAATCTAATGCTCACATGCTTCCCAGAACAATCGGACATTGTGTGAACTATCAGTTATAATTTTTTATGCCTAAGTTGGCTAATGTGGTTTTTAAAAAACTTTTTATCAGCTTATTATGAATTTTGCATCATGTACCTCAGTCATACTCATCTCCCCTGTACCTTGTATCAGTCCTCTACCCTTCAATGACCCCTCCAACAGGGAGAAAAAAATCTCATTGTAGGAGCTATAATATGTCAGAGTCCCACAGGCATACTCCTTTGCCCACATTTCTTGGCTTACAAATAATTATTGCAATGACTCCTTGATCTGAGACCTCTGGCTTCTGCTATACAATTAGTACTGGATCCTCACTGAGACTCCTCTTGGATATCCAGTTGTTGGCCTGTGTCATCGAGACATTTTAGTTTTGGATTAATAGGATCAGCCCTTCACACACTCCAACAGTTCATCGATATGATAGATATTGGGGTGGACCAACATAAAAGCTCTGGATCTGGGCCTGAGGGGTATCTGAGCTGATCATCTCACCAGCTCTCCACCACGCACATCACTAAGGCAAGCTCTCTTGCCCTGCCACACTGAAACACATCCACATCACTGAAACAACTGTCTCTCGTCAATGTTCTCAGTCTGGCTCATCTGTGTCCATGCCATCAGTGACAGCTCTACTCTGCTGCCCAGGTGAAATACAATGCTCACTCTCGTGAGTGTGGCACCCAGTAAGTGACAGAGACAGTTCTTTTACTCACATGTCCCTAGAGCTGACTCTCTCACCTGTCACAGGTGGCAAGGGCACCTTTTCCTCATCCCAGCCACCTCACAGCAAACAAAAGCCTGGATCAGCTCTCCTGAGCTCATACCCTACAAATTGGCTCACCTGTACCCACTTCCCATGTCTAAGGAGAGCACTCCTGTACAGCCTAGGCAAGGTGCAGAGCCCTCTCCCTGACTGTTGAGGCAGGGCAGCTGTTTTGCCTTAGGATCCCCAGGGCAAGCCCTCCTTCTTGACAGAGGTGGCAAGAAGTGAGCAAGGGGGCACCTTTTTCTTGTCTACACTACTGTCATTCCTGAGCAGTCAAGGGGTAGTACCAGGTTTCCAACTCTCATGCTCCAAATGCTGGCTTGCCAGTGTCCTACCACCACCAAGGTCTGCTCTACAGTACTGCACAGGGAATGCTCAGGGCCTGCTCTCCCAAGTGCTGTAGCTTTCTCGCTTTCATGACCCCAGGGCCATGTCTCTCACCTGCTGTATAAAGCCAAGGAGGAATCATGGAAGGATATCTTTCTCTTATCCATGCCACCTCATGGGAGACATGTGACTGGGCCAGCTCCCTCGTGCTCATAACCTCAGAAGTGGCTCACCAGCAATTCCTACAAGGAAGGACAGATCTGGGGGATAAGCAAAGCCCTGGTCTCTGAAGTACTGTAGCTGGATGGGGCAGGGCCATCTCGTGCAAGTTACCAGGGCCAGCTCTCCCACAATTCCATGGTGAGGGATGGAGCCTGTTCTACACAACCCTCAGAACAGGATCCCACCAGGGTTCCAGGTATCATCACTGGCTACTTATGCCAGGCTATTCCTTGTTACCTTTTAGTCTCAGTTCTGCCTGTCTTCATTGTGCCCACATCCTTCAGTTTTTATTCCTTTTATATTACTCTACCATTTACTTCCTCTTCTTAGTAGCACCCAGGATCTTTGAGTGTCTAGTATCATGTCAGGAGTAGTCTTAGGAGTACTGTGCCCTACTGTGCATTATTGTACCAGGAATGGTTCATGTCTGATATGGTCTGGCACCTGTGAGGTGCCAGTCTGGTGGTCATCTCAGATTGCATTCCTCTCCATGCTTCACAGCTTAGAATTGCTTACCCTCTTGTGGTCACTCCTACCAAGGGCCTCTGGTCCCAGGTTGGGTAGTTTTAGGCTTGCTCCCACTGTGTTATATGGCCCCAAGTGGGTTATTGTTATCTCTGGGAGCTAGACTAAGCCTACACAATGCCATGAGACTAGTGGTTGTCTCAGACTAGTTTCCTATATGGGCCCCCAGGCACCGGACTGCTTGCCTCTGGCTCAGTTTTTATTTTTTTCAGGGTTTGTTAGGCTACTAATCATTCATATGTTCAAGTCATACTGAGTATAGACAAAGGCTCTCTCCTTTCTGTGACCTACTGATGCCCACATGGCATAGTAATCACAGCTACAATGCCTCTAGGGAGATGGTTATTATGTCTTCTAAGCTATCTCCATTGCATTCTTCCAAACTTGTTTGTGTTGATTTAATGAGATTAATATTTGTAAACACTACAGCTCTGTTAAAACTAAAATTATGTGACCCCTGTGACCTATATCTGCTAATGTGTGAGTACATAAGTATTTTGTGCCTGCTAAGGATTATAAGCATGGGACACATGCTGGTCTTGTCCATGGCTCTGTGCTTTGGTGAAAACCATACTTGTTGAAATCTATCTGTAAATTAATAAGCAGTTGTTAGGTGAAGATGATTTGAACCTCTATGTAATATTATATCAGCTAATTTTCTAAACTTGGGATGTATAAATGGAAGAGAGTATGTTTTTTTTCTAGAGAATATCTCAGTTGGTAAACTGCTTGCTTTGCAAACATGAGGACCTAAATATGATCCTCAGAACATATGAAAGGCCAATAGGTTTTACACAATTAAAATTCTTAGACTAAGGAGATAAAGACAAGCAGATCCTTAAAGTTCATTGGTCAGCCAGCCCATCCAAATAGGCTAGGAGAAAATAAAGTTTTGACTAGTAAGAAACAACTTTTGAAATCAACTATTGGCCCTCTTACACACAAGTACACAAGTATATGTTCACATGCACGCATGTGTGCACAAGCACATACATACAAATGTCGCCAAGATGGTGTTTGTGTTCTAATATTTTACTGCTAAAAACATATAATAGCACATGCACAATTTAAGTTCATTAGTCAAGGATGTGTTGATCCTTGGTAGCATTTGATAGCTATAATGCAGTGTCACAGGAAGCACATACATCGTTCTTGGAAGTTCTTTAGCACAAGAACATAGACTAGTATGTTGGTCATCTTTCATAGTATACTGTCAGGACTTATAGACAGAATGCAAATCAAAAAAGTTCAGGGACAGAGATAATGGTAGATGAAACACTGAAATGTGATGAGAAGAATTCATGAATTATAATAAGGTAAGGGCATGTGATGTTTAACTTTACCAGACAACCTGATATAACCTAGAATCATGAGCGAAGAGGGTCTCACTGAAGGATTGTTAATATTGAGTTGGCCTGAAGACATGTTTGTTGGGATTGGCCTAAATTAATTGGAGTGAGAAGACCCAGCCCACTGTGGGTGACATCATTTTCCAAACAGGCATTCCTTGCTTCAGTTAGCCTTCTATTGCTGTGGAAAACATTCTAAGGAAAGGGTTTATTTCATCTTAAAGTTAGAGCACATCATGAAGAAAAATCAGAGCAGGAACTAAAGGAGAGCAATGGAGGAGTACTATTTACTGGCTTGTTCTCAAGGCTTGATCAGCCTGCTTTCTAATGCCACATAGGACAATCTTCTGAGGGGTATCATTGCCTTCAGTGATCTGGCCACTTCCACAAAAATTATTAATAAAGAAAATGCACTATACACTTCCTTACACTCCAATCTGGTAGGGCATTTTCATCATCGAGAGTCCATTTTCAAAAATGAGCCTAGACATTTAACATAAAACCCAACCACAACAGTTTCTGAGCTACTTAAGTTGACAAATTAAACAGAGTGTAAGCAACCCAGCAAGGAGACAATTGTGCATTTGTTTCTTGGTATCCTTGGTTATGGATATAATATGACAAGTTGCTTCAAGTTCCTGTAGTTATGATTTCTCTATAATGATGGACTGTAACCTAGAATTGTGAACTAAATGAGCCTTTCTCATTTAAGTTGCTTTCTTGTCAGGGTATTTTTCACAGCAGCAAAAATTAAGCTAAAATAGGGTACAAGTTGGCCAAGTATCAGAACACTGAGCTGTAAAGTCTCTTTTGACTGTATGGGAAGGAAAGGAAGAAATATGAGAAGTGAGCTAAAGTATGAGCTACTGATTCTTGTTCAGGGATATTCAGAATCAAGCAGAGTTTGCTTTTTCTCATTTCAGCCATCTATGAGCAATCCTGTGAAGTGTATAGACACAGAGGGCACACAGCTGGGTTCTTCTATGTTGACTCTGATGGCAGCGGGCCACTGGGACCACTTCAGGTGTACTGTAATATTACTGGTAAGAGCCATGTTTTCTAAGCATGCTTAACCTGGGTGACTCATGCATAGGATGAGGGGAGTTTATGACAAGGGACACCTGGGGGTACAAAAACTCACAAAACTAGCCTCATAGTGAAAGAATGCTATTTTGAAAAATAATAAGAATAACTTAGTTGTTGTCAAGACAAAGAGTACAGGAATCTTGATGATCACACTATTCCCTGAAACAGGAAAGATTTACCAGAATTACCAAGTGTTTTCTATAAGACTTTCCAATGTCATATTCATTATTAAAACCTGGAAACATAACAAAAGGGATATAGAAAACAAAACAAATAACCCCCCCCAAAAAAAAACAAGACATGAAAGTCACTAGGATGTCCCGATTCACAAAGGGCAACAGCATTTATAGATCGTCCTATGGAATATGTATCTGGGTGAGTCATACTGTCTTGAACTTGAGTGGTTCATCAGTGAAATGAGAATGAGATCACTATATGACAAGGAGCCCTCAGGGTCACAGATAATTAGGCATTATGAAGCAGCTACTGAGGACCTAGAAAAGAGCTTTCTTTTCAAAAGTACTAAGAGATAGTTGATTCTAGAGGGTGACCATAGCCTGAGAACATAGATTTAGGTTACCACGAATTTCATGTTCCATCATGCCAATGGTTTCAGAAGCTTTTATTGTGGTAGTTGTAAGTAAACATTCTTTTTTTTTTTTTTACCTTGGCATTTTATTTATTTTTTAAATAATTTATTTATTTTTTTCAATTCGTAATTTATACTCACTCACACAGGGGTTATAAACACAAAAAGGCAGGACGTGGGGAAGGGGATGACACTGGAGCGTGGGGTTTCAGGGGGAATACAGATATCTTTCAGAACAGGGTATCGGCTAGGTGAAGGTTCAGGGGACAGGTCACTATGACTCTGCCTATGATTCACTTGTCCTTATCTAAGTTGGTATTGTCTGCCAAGGCTACCTATTTACAAGGTTTATGACTACTCAGGCTGGTAAATTTCCACAAAAGCTACCTGTTTACAATAGCTTATAGCCATCTGTTTCAATGTTTTTCCACAGAGACCCAAGACTTGGTGTTAGTATATATGTATGACAGGGCTATTGCTGATTTTAGGCCAATGGCTGATTTTAGGCTTTCAGTGTGTAAGCAGGGCTGGCCCTGACATCTCCTCCCTTCTCTAGGTATAGAAGGGCTGTGGCGATTCTAATCTTGTGAAGGTGGGGATAGAGGCCTGACCTCTAGTAATTGAAGGGGACCTTGTAATGGCTCCAGTCCCCCTGTTGTTTTCCAGAGAAGCATGAGGGCCATACCTGTCCCGATGTCCTTTTCCTGGAGAGGGGATACTTTTGACATCAACCTCTATGCAGTCAGGCTTGTCCCTCAGGGAACCCAGAGAGATATTTTTAACTTTTATTTATATTCCCTTGCAGTGCTTAGCCTCACAGCCTAAGCAAGAATTCAGATTGCCAGTCAGAGGGGGTTCTGGGTGACCCCTCTCTGCTTGGTCTACGGGCAGAAGTCCCTTCTTTTAGGTTGGGTGGAGATGGGTTTTGGGAACACCCTGGATAAAGTAACAACCTCATCTTGAGTCTCGTGGTTCTCCATAGCTAACTTATGATAATGTATCTGAATAGGTTTTGCTTCCAAATTATTTATCTGTTGTTTCACAGAGTTAGTCATCCTATTTGAGGCCCAGGGACCAGAAGAAATAAGCAAAAGTAACCCAAGTAATGGTCCCAGTAAATATACTTTTCTATGTACTAGTCAAATACCAGTAGAGAACATTTCATTAAATCAAGAACATCTCTGCTCTTAGCCTCACACATAATCTAATGACTTTATAGCCTTTGATTCATGAAACTCAGGAGTCTTTTAATAAATTTCAAGGGAACTCACTGGATAGTCACAAGAATGTTAAGTTATAAACAGAAATTACCAATAAACCACTGTTTAATATGCCAAGATTCCCAAGATATTATGAAATTTTTAATCAGTCACATTTGTACAATATTCAAGGTAGGTGTAGCTTCTTTTTCTGGGAATTGTAGTTCCATTGCTAATCAATACCACCACCAACACCGTGACCATCACCATTACCACCACCATCACCACCACCACTACCTCTACCATCCCATATGATCATTGAGAGTATGTTTCCTATGGAATATACTGAGAGCATGTAACTTATTTTTAAATCAATTAAAAATAATTTAATTGATTAGAATTGGCATCTGAGGAGATGATAGGTTGAATAGAAAATGACAGTTGATGACAAGCCTGATGACCTAAGATTAATCCCTGGATAACACATTGTGGAAGGAGAAAATCAACTACAACAAAATTCCTACATGTTCTACACTGACTGCCATTAATTGGCCTCTCTCTCTCTCTCTCTCTCTCTCTCTCTCTCTCCCTCTCTCTCTCTTTCTGTCTGTCTGTCTTCTCCTATCTTCTCCTATCTCTTTATGTGTATGTATGAGAGAGAGAGAGAGAGAGAGAGAGAGAGAGAGAGAGAGAGAGGTACTTAGTTTCAAGCTCTGGTTTTCAGAGATAAAAGATGTTCTGTGTGTTGGAGCAACAATATGATGCCTCATACACTTCACTGAACATTGTGCTCTGGCCTCCTCTGTTGGGAGGCAGTACACATATAGAGCTCTTTCTAACCTATAGTTTACAAGGTGCAGAAATAAGACCATTAATTCTCATGTGGCAGTGAACTCAAGAACAGGACCATGAGATGCTATAGACACAATACAATGAAACCACTGCAAGAAGTGATCATAAGGTATATTCCTCATTTTTCCAACTGAATGCAAAATCCAGACTCTGACTGTAGAAGGTGGCAGTTATTTTAGTTTATATATTACTTCACACAATGAAGAGTGGCTATATGTTAGATACATTGTAGTTGCCTTAGAGCAGGAATAAAAATTGTCATGTTT